CGCGATTTTGGTCCTTCAATTTTTAATTGAACAATTTTAGTCCCTCAAATATCATAATAGTACGATTTTAGTTTCTCCCATTAAAAATTAATAATAAATATATATCATTTGATACATTAAAAAACTTATAATATACGTTAATTTAAATAAGCAAATAATTATATAGTTTTAAAACATTATATATATATATATATATATATTAAAATTTTAAAATTATTAAATTTTTAATGAGAAAGACTAAAATTACACAATTATGATATTTGAGAGATTAAAATTGTTCAATTAAAAATTGTGAGACTAAAATTACACAACTATAATCTTTTAAAGATTAAAATTACTCAATTAAAACTTTAAGGATCAAAATTGCATAATTATAATACTTGAACGATCAAAAATACAATTAAGCAAAGAATATTTTATTCACAGTTTTGGAACAGGGCGTTCCGAATCTAGAACGGCCCGTTTTGAAAGCAGAACGGGCGTTTTGGTTTCAGAACGACCCGTTCTGCTTCACTGGTGGTGTTTTAATTTTGCAACCAGCACGGCCCGTTCTGGTTTCAAAACGGACCGTTCTGGGTCCAGGTGTTTTCAAAAAAATTCTCATCCACGTGGCATCCACGTATGCATCTACGTGGCATCCACGTGGCCAAAAGTTAACTCCGTTTAAATAATTTGGATGGAAGTCCCATATTAAAACTAATTAATTAATTTGGGATTAAATTGAAACTAATTAATTAATTTGGGACCAAATTAAAACCAAAAATAAAAGTAAAACTAAATTAAAATAAACAATTAATATAAAGGACTAAAATAAAGTTTTACCATAAAAAAAAGTATACCACGTGATTTTACATGACCACAAAAAATTATTATAAGGGACCAAATTAGATTTTTAGCCTTGTTTTTAATAATAAATATTTTATTAAAAAAATCAAAATTTTAAATTTAAAAAAGTACTTGGATTTATAACAGTTAACTAAAGTTACAATAGAATCACAAACAAAAATTATTATTTGTTGGTAAATATTCAAATTACATAGATAATACGTATTGTTTATCTTCCGATGGAGAAAACAAGATACCTAATTTTGATTTGGTTTCTTAAAACCACTATTATATTTTATATTTTAACTTATTATGTTTGTCCATCACTATCCCTTAACAAGATAAACTGATTTTCACTTATTAAGTTTATATTACATTTCTATTATTAGTCTAATAGTTACTAAAATAGTTTACTTATAATAGTTTACTTCTACTAAACTAATGTATTATTAAAAATTAGGAATTAGAAATTATACACGTACGAGCAGTCCGCTCCAAAAGAAACTCTAGGTATCAAAACTCACATGTGTGGGTCATCTCAGCTAGTAATAAATCATTTCATAATGCTCTACGAAAATATGTCTATTTTAAATTATTTTATCAACAACCAAAGACTCAATATCAACAAACTTCACTTGATCATATTTCTATTATTGTTGGAGAAAATTTTGTCGAGTTAATTTTATTCTATTCTAGTTTTATTTTAATCAAAATAAAAACATTTAACCATAAATCACACCATTTTAATTTCATTTTTAATCAAAACTATATCTAGAAAATTAATTTCATTTGAATTCACTAAAAACACCCTGAATATGTTTCATAACGTCCATGCAATCTCTCATCTCTCCGCCACGTTTTTTTCTTCTTCTCGATTTTATCCTTTTCTTTATCTCTATGAAGAAATTACATTAGTAAAGTTGCTAGCTGAAGTGTAAGAAAAATTATTAGAATTTTATTCACAAATTACCCATTCCAATTTCCAAATAACTTGATATCTGTTATTGGTCATATCGAGGATAAATTATTAGCATTGCTAGCTGTTTTCTTATAATAGAAAAACAAAAGTTTAATATTATAAGCCCCAACAATTGTGCAATATTCATTACTAGTTAATTATTTTTATTCAATATATCATTTAAATATGCCAAAGGAAATTTTTAAAAATTTTAAATATAACATTCTTTTTAAAAAAGTACGAATACATAATATACATCAGATAGTGTAGAAGTTTTATATATTAAATTATAAATTTATACATAATAATTTTTTAATTTTTACATAATTATCTAATTGATCTTATTGAAAGAAATTATAATTAATTAATAATTAAAATTTTTACAAAAAACTTTAAAAAAAAAGACATTACTATTAATCAGGAATTTTCTCTTCCTTTCTTTTCTGAATAAATTGTAGGATGTAAGCATTATAATAAGAGGAATAGTGTAGTAGTGTCCGTACCCAAAGGAAATCCGCGCGAAAAATATAGGTTGGTGGGAGACAAAACGCCGTTACTTTGTAAAGTGAACGGTCGCTCTCTCTTTTTAACAATTTTTATTTCAAGAATATAACAATTACAACTTTTGACCATATAAAATTGAAACTAATTGAATAATTAAAATTATGAATAATTAAAATTATGAGTCAACAAATAAACATCTAATCTACACTAACAAGTTTTAAGATGAGTTAAAACTGAACTCGAACTTCTTAACCAAGACATTAAATTTGAGTCATATAAAATATAAAAAAATTGTGATTAAGAGAGAAAAATTATATTTAACATACTTAACTAAGTTTTATAGGAAATATTACTGATCAATAAAAATTTTGTAAATAAATAAAAAATTAGGTAAATTTTTTTTTACATGTAGTTGATGTTAATTTTTTAATCAAAATTAATATTTTAGCTCGATATTAAGAATGAAAATAAATCAAATCTTAAATAAAGATTTATGATATTACATTTTTAAAGTTTGATATGACCTGACTTATTTAATAAAAAAATTAAATTTAAATTTATAAAAAA